CGCTGCCGCCGCCGCCAGACACTCCGGAGCTGTCCGCTTCAGCACCACGGCGGCGGCGGTAGCGGCGGCGCAGACCATCCCGGAGCCCGCTGCCGAGCTCATGCACTTTAGAACCTCGGGCCGCAGCCCCACCCCGCACACCGGAACGGACACGGAGACCCGCGGCTCTCAGCCCCCGGCCCGGCCCGCCCCCTCCCGCACGGCTCCCCTGCCCCGCCCCTCTCCGGCCAGTCTTGGCTGCAGACTTCGCCGGTGTCGGACCGCGCGGCCAGGGATGTGTGGCTGCGTATTTGCATGAGCTTCCCACCCACCTGAGTCCAGTCCTCCAGGCCGCTCCTCACCCCCACCCCTGTCTGATGTGACCCCAGCCTCAGCCTCTTTCTAAGGGACTTCCTCAGCACATTTGTATTTTTATATCCGACTCTTTGTTTACTGGCTCCCCTCATGGTCCTCCCCTCCCCACCCCAACCCCACTGTCTCAACCAAGCTCTTCTGCGCCTGGCAGATAGGACTGTGTTGAGTCTGGGGTGGGACAAGCCCCACAAGGTAACCAACCACACGACCAGTCTGCTCAGGCCTGACCCCAGGTAGCTCTCTGGCAGACCCCACACCCCCAAAGTTTCACCTTCCCAGGGCCCAAGTCTGATTTTACCTTGGACACCTGGGTCCCCAAATGGGAACTGCTCTGAACCTTTGGACAACACCTGTGGTCCTAGAGATGGTCTCAGCCCAGGTGTGTCCTTTGTAAATGTTCCTTCATCTTCACTGTACCAGGAGTGTGTGAATAAACACAGACCTCCCTGTGTGTGTGTGGCCACTGCTTTAGTCTGCTCAGGTTCAGACCAAAACGCCTCCAATTCCTTTTGGGGAGGAAGAGGGCAGGTACTTGGGAATCTCAGGTGCATGTTACTGGTAGGGAAGGGTTACCAAGTAAACACAGGCTGGCCTGCCTGGCTTGAGAACAGCATCAAAATGTGGCCTCCTTGGGTAAATATACAACCTAAGCAGAATAGATCACCAGAGCTGGGGCTAGAACTAGGGTCAGCGGCATAAATCACTCTAAAAGCAGCCACCTGTGGATAAATCCAGGTTGGATGGTGTTCAGTAACAGCTCCAAGGATACAGGTCTCCAGTCTGATTGGCTTATGTTGAACTTTGCCCCAGAAGAAGAAACAGTACCTTGGGAGAGGAAGTTGGGGGAACCCAGGGAGATATGAGAACCCAAAACCCTGGGATATGGACTTTAATTTGACCTGGGCTGTATTGTTTGATATAGGGTTGCTGTCACCTGCTCCATCTAAGGGATGATCCCCTGGGATATAAGCACCAAGGTGAGCAGTGAGTCAGGAATTCCAACTACTGTGGAGTCCAGGGCAGAAGGGCAGGGAGGACTCCATGCTTCTGGTTTCACAGCTGAATGGCACTGAGGAAGTCCTCGTGATCTGAGTCCTGGAGAAAGCCAGGTGAGGTGGGAGATCTGGAGGGTGAGAGGAGCTGGGCCCCAAGAGCAAGTTGGGTCCCAGTGAGTTCTTTGCCCTTGTGCATGAGGTAGAGATGGAAGTGGAAACCGCTGCCATATGTTGCATGCCTCAGGGACCAGCCATAACAGGCTTGGGCATAGTGTCGGGTCCGAAAGTGGGGGGCAGCAGAAGTCAGTGAGATGAACCGGCCCCCAGGGGCCAGAACCCGGCTCACCTGCAAAGCAGATAGAGAAGCCATTGGTGAAGTGTCCATCTTCAGCTTCTCAAAGATCAACATTGTCCCAGAAGCTTTCACAGTGAGCTTCAGGTCACTGTGCACTCAGGCACTATCCTACAGCCAGGGCTTTCCATGGGAAAAGAGTGAACCTACTCTACCCATGGCTACTCAGTGGGGTTAGGGCTATATTCTAAACAGGTAGGAGCATGGGAGTGATATCAGGTACAGGGGCACTGCTTTCCCATCAGCTGCTCACTTTTCTACTCGGTTACTTCTCTGGAACAGGCTGTTACCTCACTCTTATGGCAACCCAACCAGTCTCTGTGAATCTGGCCACTCCAGCCCCTTCTACTATGTATGACCGACTCTAATCTCTTCTTCTTTGAGGGAACCAGTCCTGAGGGTCACCCACTCTTGCTTCAAACCATGCTTCCTTCTGGCTTCTGGGTTCTTCTAATCTCCTGAAATTTCAACCCTTCATCCCTACCTCTTGTCTTCCTTCCTTTATTGTTGCTCCCTCACCTCACTTAGCACCTGTTCCACCGTATGGACACCTTCAGCAGACACAGTCCAGGGGTCCTGTTCTCCAGCCAACAGGGCATCCAGTGTACCCTTCTCGAGCACCACGTCGAAGGAGCCGCTGGGAAAGCCCAGGGCCCGCACATCCATGGTCTCCCAGCGCAGCTTGGGCACGTGGGCATACCGAGCTCGCATGGCGGCCACCACTACTGATGAGTAGTCCACACTGGTCACGTCAGGGAAGCCCCCAAGGAACAGCTCATAGCTCAGGGCGCTGTTCCCGCAGCCTAGGGTGGGGAAGGGTGGGTGGCAAAAGTGCTAGGTTAGCTTTGGGCTTTCACCTCCCTGATTATGCATCCACCCTTGGCCCATTTTCTCTCAGCCCAGTTCCTCCCATGCTGACAAGAAGCAGCATGGACAGAAAGAGCATTTGCCCACAGATCTGGGCACATATCTGGGCTTTATCATTCCTAGTTGTATGAACTAGGTCAGGTTGTTTTCATTCTAGGAATGTAGATTTCTGATTCAGAAGAATGAAGATAAAATACCTAGGTTATATGCAGGATGTGATGCACTAAATTTTAAAACTAAAACATCTGACAGATAACTGAAGAAAATAATTTCAGGAGTTCAAAGATGTGGGTTCTGATTACCCTAGTCACTAGTCACAGTCATGTTAAATCATGCCAATCTGAGTCACAGTTTTCTCAAACTCAGAAAGGGTGTAATACTGACATCATTAGGTCCTGGTAATGCTATTACCAGGGTAATATTAGTATTATACTTAATCCCTAACCTCTCAGAGAACCTCTGATAATAGCAATTCTTGGAAGAATATGTTAAGAGTTATTAGCCTACTTTGGTTTCCACAGCAGAGTTAACAAGTTAGGGGGATCCCTTGAAAGTCCTTAATGTATGTATTGGGCACCTCATATTAGGTTCTGCTGGTGCATAAGAGTCCCCACACTCAAAGAATCCATGCTCCTGTGGGAGAACAGGTGTATAATCAGGCAATTGACATATAATGTAATGAGTGTTTTAATACAGAAAGATTGCAGGAGCACACAGGATAGGTGGGTTGATCAAGGGTTTCAGGAAAGCTGACAACAACTGGAGTCTTGAAGAATCGTAACACTCTAGTGAAGTGCCTGAAAAGCAGTTCCAAAGACTGGGAAGAACTTAGAGGAACAGATGTGGATCCACAGCTCAGTGGAAATGATTTCCTTTGAAGACCTGTTGGCTTCTTCCAGGCCCTCTCGTGGTCAGTTTCAGCCTGAGAATGGGGCAAAATGCCAGCACATGGGGGAATCTCTAGCTTTTGCTATTAGATTGCCTTTAATCCCCATTTGTCTAAGAGGATTGCTGGGTCAGCTCTAGCGATATCCCTAATCTAGCAGGGTTTGGCAACTGAACAGAAGACCGCTGGCTGGTCCTCAGTTGCCCCTTCCTGAGTTCCTCCTTAGGCCCCTGGGGCTCAGAAAGCTATCTCACCTGGAAAGCCCAATGCATGCTTCCCTATACTGGAATCACAACAAGCTTTGGTAGATACATTATGTGGGATAGGGGGATAAGGATGGGTGAACAAGAGACCCTAACTCAGTTCAGGCTGAAATCGCACTGGGTTCTCTATTCCGCAATCCCTTCACTACTCCTTACCTTACCTCATATGCTTTCAGAGCATTACCTCTCTGTGAACAACCCCATATTTACTCTCTCTGTTTCGCTTTGTATAGAACGGGAATTTCCAGGAGAACTTTACCAAAATAAAGGGACAAAAAAAAAAAAAAAAAAAAAACTTGCCCACAGGGTCAGTCATATAAACAAAGCAGACACAGGAGCAAGGAGAATCAGTTATATACATTCGTCTGCCATGACAATGTTTGAGCCATGGGGACCAAACACATAAGTTCTCCTACAGGATACTCTGTCCTCTGAACAGTCCTGGATTTGACTGTCCTGCCTCTGATTCCTGTTTTCAATAATTATCATGACAGCTAATAGCCATTGAACACGATCTATGTTAAGAAAGCACTTCCTAAGAAGTGTCTCCTTTTACCTTCACAGTAAGTCTATGTAAAAGATACTATTTTACCATTTTCTAAATGGAGAAATTGAGTCTGCACTCAGGATATATAAGAAAATTTCCCTAGGTCACATGATTAGTAGTAGAACCAACATTTGGATTCATGCCAGACTCAGACTCATGCCAGAGTCAGAATTCTTAAACCACTAACCTCCCACTTTTCAGGAGGTCCACTCGCCTCCCATGGGAACATTCCCTCTTTAGCTGTATCAGTATGACCACTAATCTAGACTAAGTCTTGTATTCTTAATCACTCACCTCTAGGGAATGCCCTAACTAGGTGCATTCCCTAGCACCTATTAGATAGGTTCAATATGTCTGTTGAGGTGACTATAACATAGTCTACTCCCCAGGTTGTGGGTCCTGTTATTAGATCTTGGGAGTCCTGCCTGATAAGTTTTCCTTTTTGATTTTTAAGACTTTCCTCTCCTCTATTCAGGAAAGAATACCTCCCAGTCAAGCAAATTTTAAGACAGTATTACTCTGCCAACTACCAACATGAGAATCAGCTGTGAATATGTTGAAATTAAAGATTCCAAGGGCCCACCTTAGACCATCCCTAGAATAGGGTGGGTCCAGCTTTCCAACTGATTTTAATTGCAATGAAAGCTTGAAAAGCAGATCTATGATAAAACTAAAAATAAATGCAATGGTTGAAAAGCACAAAATTCAAGAGAGTTTAAAGTTAAATTTAAGGGAAAAGGATTTGGGGAGCACACAGAAAACCTTGTGCATACAGGGGGCTTTTTATTTTGCCAGGCATTGTTCTAAGGTAACTTTAACACTCATTTAATTATTTTAAAAACCCAGTAAATATTATTACTTTCATAAGAATGAGAAAATAGAGGCACAGAAATTTAAGTGTTTTGTCCAGGTTTTCAAAGCTAAGATTCCATAATTTTGTCCATGATTGCATAGTTAAAGATTACATAACCCAAGATCCCAACATAATTAGTAGCCTTCGAAACTCCAGGTGCTGAAGCTGTAGATTTTACTTCTTTTCAAGTCCTAGGAATGTTTTGTTTCTCAAATTGAATAGTATAAACATACTTTATTATTTATGCCTTACATACAACACTGTATTATAGATATTTCACATAAAACATATGCATACTTATACAAATGGCAAAATAAAAACTTTAATTAAAAAAAAAAAACAAACCGTTTTTCAATGCACCTTCACTCTAGTCCCCAAGGCTGGCAGTGGAAAAGCGCCCCGAGGGGACCCCTGGACCTCAGTGTCTTACAGGTCCCTTAGAGGAAACTACATCAACCTCAGCTGCAACATTTCCTCCGAACTCAGAGGGCGCTGTCCTTATCCTCACTACACACGGGACACTGGCCCAAGTTTGAGTTAAGGCTTGGAGGGTAAATTTCTCTAGACTGACAATGACTCCAGAAGCCCATCGGCGCGAACAGAAAAATGCCAGTATTGCGTTCGAGATGCCTGCACCTGCCTTGCCGACTTGAGCCGGCAATCCCACTTTTAGAAGCCTGTCTACAGCTAACTGGCGCTGGGACTTGATTTAGGTCCTATGAGCTCTCCAGCGCTCCAGGATGCCTCCAGTGGGTCCGGAACGAGGTCCTCAGAATCAGACTATTTTCCAAAGGATTCTTAGCCCCCAGGACTAAGAATGTTTTGGCTCCTGCTGCCCTGGCTAAATACTGCGGAGATTCCGAAAGAACACATTTGTCTCCCGACCCGGGCGTCCTCTGAGAGAGACAGACAGACACGAAAAGGCGCACAGGATCAGGCCGGGACGGAGTTGGTTCGGCCAGCATCTCCGGGACTACCCACCTAGCACAAGGATACGGTCCTCGGGTCGAAGCTCTGGCTCTAAGAGGGCACGGAAGGAGGAGAAGTTTCCGAACCACTCGTAGGGGGCAGAATCGGCCGCTCCCTGGTAGCGCCGGTCCCAGTATTGTACCTCGCGATACCCGCAGTTCTGCTCCGGTAACTCCGGCTGGGGGGCAGAGGTCCCGGGAGAGGCCATGCTTGCAACGACCGGGGCAGCTGGGGCAGCTGGCCAGCACCTGCGGTACCGCCTGGTGCCCCTAAATAGCCAATCTGGACAGCGGGATTAAGGAGGAGGCGTGGCCTTTGAGTCTCCGCCCTCCATCTGCAGCTGCTCAATAGAAACACGTGGAACTTCCGTCCCCTGCTAAGCGCTCTCCTTAGAATCTTCCGACTGGGAAAACTACATTGTCTAGACCCTGAGTCTTCCCGCGGTACTGAGCACCCACTTCTAAGAGTCATCTTCTTGGTATCAGATTCACTCGAGCTCATCACTACCCCTTCATATTCTCAGTTTGGCCGGCTTTGCCCGCAAGGAAGACTGAAAAGTCATGAAAGACACCTGGAAGGCTCTGAGAGGAAAGGAAAGCCTTGCTTTCCAGGAGAGATTGACATGAAACACAGATATGGCCAACAGAGGCGAAGTGAAATGCAGGGCGCCTGCAGGAATGTCGCTTCATAAACGTCCGATCCATATTAAGCCCAGGTGTCCACAGTATGTATTTTTTTTTCTACTAAGCGTGCAGCCCATCCCAGGAGATAGGTGTAAAAGAGTAAATAATACTGGCAATTCCGTTCGGCGCTCAGTGGGTTAGGATGTTCCGCGCAAGCAAGCGGAACCTAAGTGTAGACAAGTCAAGCTTCCGGGGCGGCGGGAATCGCAGGAGCAGCGCACCATCAAAATGGCGGCAGGCCCGCGGAAACGCGGCCGGGCAGGTCCCGTAGCCGGGGCGGTTGGGCTGTGTGGACAATGGCTGCGGCGCGCCTGGCAAGAGAGGCGCCTACTTCTGCTGGAGCCGCGTTACACGCTGCTGGTGGCCGCCTGCCTCTGCCTGGCGGAGGTGGGCATCACCTTCTGGGTCATTCACAGGGTGGCATGTGAGTGCGCCGTGGGGGAGGGGAGGGAAGGGATGGGAACCCTCAACCCTAACCCAAACTGGGACCCAGTTTCGGAGTTCAAGCCCAAATCCCGATCTGCTGTCATCAGTTGCAGCCCCATGTCTTTTACCCAAATCCCAAGCCTGCTTCAAGAGAAAATCAAGCTCGATTTTTTTTTAAGCAAGTAGGGATTTTTTTTAAAAAGATTTTTATCTGTTTATGCATACAGAAATGGGGCACAAGCCAAAGGCACAGTGGCGGTGAGCGGATTCACCAGAGACAGTGGGGAGCTGGACAGGCAGATCGACGAAGTACACTGTTGAGGGGAGCAGCGGGAGGGTCAGGAGAGCTTTGCTGCGCCATGTGGTCACCTCCGGGGCCAGGGAGCGAGCTCGCATTGAGGTGGCTGAGGCTGGCTTGCAGTGCTGTGTCCTTACACGTTGCACCACCAAGGAGGGTCCCTGAGCTCGATTTAAATCCCCCTATTTAGCCCCCTTGATGGAAGGGATGACTGTAGAGATTGACCTGCTCTTAAGGTACAGCTTGCCAGGCTGAACTGAATCATCCTGGAAGTCAGATAACTTGGTAGAAGCTAATGTATTGCTGTAGCAGCTTGTCTCTGTGGCTTTGGACACAGTACTTCGATTGCTGGCTAAAGAGGGGACATGAAGATTAAGGAATGACATGGGAACTAACATAAGATAGAAAAATCCAAGGAAGAACTTACTCATTCAAAGTAGAATCAACAGGAGTAGGAAAGGATGTCTTTACGCAAACAAAAATCAGCTTAGTGCAGGGGAGGAAAACTACAGCCACCTGTTTTTGTTTTTGTTTTTTTCTTGCATACCAGAACTGGAGTATAGACCAGAGGTGTGGGGGAGTCTGCTTAACGGTGCATCTTTGTGAAAACTTGAATTCGTTTAGCACTCCTTTCCAGGCTGAATGTAGACATAGCTTTCTTGAGCTGTGTGTGTGTTTTTGTATATGAGATATGTATATGAGAGAGAGAAGGAACAAGCTTATTATATTCTGTTTACTAAGGATACAGTCGTGGAAGTGTTACAGGCCAGGGAGTCCACCCCAGGACCCCCAACCCTGCCCAATCTAAATAGGTTCTGCCATCCGCTGCATCAAGACAAAACATAGAACACCTTTAATGTCATTATTAACCTTTTGTATGTGCCTGCAGTTGAATCTTAATCCCAAGGGTGAAGACCCACTGTCAAGCAACCCAGTTTACATTGGAGGCTTGCCCTGCAACAGAAAAAGATAGGCATATATCCTATTGTGATGTGATGAGGTAGCAGGAAATTTCAATGTATCATATTAACCATGTTAGCAAGATACTATAAAGGTACAGAGCCAGGGTTCAGGAGGGCACTTCCACCAGGCTTAAGGAGTCAGGGAAGGCTTCTAGTGTCCCCCTTGAAAAGTAAAAGCTAATTAGTTGAGGAAAGAGAAAGGGGGAAAGTAAAGAGTACTCACAGAGGTTCATGTATCAAAAGAGAGAGTCTAGTTCCTTTGAGGAGCTCAAAGAATTTTTTAGAGTTGGAATAGAGATCTTGAGCTAGTCACCCAAAATCATTAATTCATAGGTTTTGCTTATACAAATAAGTTTATCTTAAAGAGCTGGAAATCATTGAAGAGTTTGTTGTGTTTGTTTATTTTTTAAAGCTGGGGTGTAGAGCAGAGGTGTGGGGGGATGAGTGAGAGGGTTCACCAGTGACGGAGTGGGGAGCAGAATAAGCAGATCTTCTGAAATACACTGCTGAAGGGAGACAGGAGAGGTCTGCTGTGCCATGTGGGTCAGCTCCCTGGCCAGGGATGGCACTTGTGCTGCAGTGGCTGCCAGTAGCTTCACAGTGCTGTGCCTTGACCCTTTGTGCCACCAGGGAGGCCCAACATTTGAAGAGTTTTTAGCAGAAAAACCTGAAATGATTTCTACTGTAGGAAGAACTGTGGTTGCAGGGTGTGAACTGTTATTAGGGGTAAAAGTGGAAGCTGGGGGCCTAATTAGTAAGCTTTTGTATTATTGAGATTAAAGACTAATCAAGCCCCAATTTGACTATGTCATAGAAGAGAAAAGTGAGATAGAGATATTAGGATGACGAATTGGTGATAACTGGTGAATGGGAGTTGAAAAATGAGAAAAAAGGAAGTGTCAAAGATCTTACTTAGTTTTGTGACCTGGGCAACTAGGATGATGGTGTTGCCATTCATGGAACCAAGGAAAACCCAGGAAAAGGAGTAGATTCAGAGTAGAAGCTCATGAGTTCAGTTGAAGACATGTTGCGTTTGAGATGCTGAGGCTCATCCAAAGAATGTCAAACTTGAGATAGTGGTACTGGGAATGAGCCGCAACTCGTGCTTTGATAGGCTGGAGATGTGGTGGGTGGCAGAGAGGTTCAGAACTTGGCAAGTAACCACACCATCCTGTCCTTTTCCAGATACAGAGATTGACTGGAAAGCCTACATGGCTGAGGTAGAGGGCGTCATCAATGGCACCTATGACTATACCCAGTTGCAGGGGGACACTGGACCTCTTGTGTGAGTGGGGATAAGAGGTTCCACAGGGGCTGGCCGAAAATCCGGGCTGCTTGGCTTGACCCCAACTCACACTCCCTCACCTTCCAGGTATCCAGCTGGCTTTGTGTACATCTTTATGGGGCTATATTATGCCACTGGGCGGGGCACTGACATCCGCATGGCCCAGCACATCTTTGCTGTGCTCTACCTGGCCACCTTGCTGCTTGTCTTTTTGATCTACCACCAGACCTGCAAGGTAAGACTGTACTACCAGGACAAGAGGCTCAACCCAGAGGTTTGGGGAGTGGGGATGGCTCGAGGTTGGTGAGCTGACCTTGTTCCACAGGTACCTCCCTTCGTCTTTTTCTTCATGTGCTGTGCCTCTTACCGTGTCCACTCCATCTTTGTGCTGCGGCTCTTCAATGACCCAGTGGCCATGGCACTGCTCTTCCTCAGTATCAACCTTCTGCTAGCAAAGCGCTGGAGCTGGGGCTGCTGCTGTTTCAGGTCAGTACCCCTCCCTCTGGCCCCCTCGTTCACATTCTGTATTTCCATCACATTCTCCCCACTTTATGCAGGGGAGGGACTAAGGGAGTGACCAGGCAGCATGGACCAATGGGCGCCCCACTAGGCAAGTTCGGGACCTATAGAAAGTCTGTCCCAGCACCCTCCCCCCTCCCCCCTCCAGACAGCAGCTGTTGTTGGAGTGGTCCTTCCACATTCTAAATACTCAGTGTGGGCATAGGTACTAGATATCTGCTCCCTACCTCCAGACTCCTTCTAGGCTGCCATCCCCTCCCACTTCCAGATCTGAGTGTGGGCCCCATCCTGGAGCTGGTGGTGGGGGAAGGGAGGAGCTGCTGTGGTGATGGGGAGCAGTGTCCATCCTTGGGTTGGCCCTGGCGCTGATAACCTTTCTCTCCCTACCCACCCCAGCCTGGCTGTCTCTGTGAAGATGAATGTGCTACTCTTCGCCCCTGGGTTACTCTTCCTTCTCCTAGTGCAATTTGGCCTCCGTGGGGCCCTCCCTAAGCTGGGCATCTGTGCTATTCTCCAGGTACCTTTCTCTTCTAACAAAGAGGAGGCAATTCTGGCTCCTTTCCACCTTTCAGACCTTCTCAAAGTCAAGTGACAGGATTTTAGAGTCGATTCTGGGGTGGGCAGTTATACCTTTGGGCTTTACCTGTAAAATAAATTTGGTGAGCTAGATAGTTTCTGAGGACCCTTGTAGTGCTGCCTGTTTATGACTCGGCGGGAGAATCCAGACTTAAAGTACTGCTTCTACCTGCCTTCTCAATTCCATTGGCTCTGAGCTCTGTCTTGCGGGGACGTGGGATGGGGGGTGGGGGAGTAGCTACTGGCCTTCTTGCTATTCCTGCTGGGGACTAGGGAACCTCTGAGACTGTACCCTGTTCCCCACTCCCCTCGATGATTAGCATGAAGGTTGGGAGAGAGCCTGAACAGCTCTGCTGACATCACCCCCATCCTCAGGTGGTTCTGGGACTGCCCTTCCTGTTGAAGAACCCCGTTGGCTACCTGTCCCGCTCCTTTGACCTTGGACGCCAGTTTCTCTTCCAGTGGACAGTAAACTGGCGCTTCCTCCCTGAGGCCCTCTTCCTGAATCGGGCCTTCCACCTGGCCCTGTTGGCTGCCCACCTCACCCTGCTCTTACTCTTTGCCCTCTGCAGGTGGCACCGGTGAGAAAGGGGAGCAATGCCTTGGGCAGAGTTGGGGGGAACATGAAAGGCTTAGGGAGTACTCCTTAGGGAGTGGGAGTACTTAGGGGAGATGTTGAGCTCATGGGGATGAGTCCAGAGCTTGGCCCATGATGCGGGCTTGATGAATGTCTGAATGGCTTCTCCCAGCACAGGGGAAAGTATCCTGTCGCTGCTGAAGGATCCCTCCAAAAGGAAGGTTCCACCCCAGCCCCTCAAACCCAATCATATCCTTTAAATCATGGGAAGGTAAGTGTTGCTCTCTCCAGATGTAGTTGTGGTCCTGGTCATTTAGGCTTCACATGGGGGAGGGAAGAGGAAGAGGCCTGTTAGAGCTAAAGGGCCGGATCTTGGAGCTCCTACCCTGTACCAAGTACTGTGCCGAGCAGTTCACACGTTGAAGCATATTTTATCGTTAATTCTAAACATGACTGAGAAACCTTTGAAAGGGCTCTCCCTCTGCCTGGTGCTTTCCTGAGAGGTTAATGTACGTCCTAACATTTAAAGTTAACAAGAGACCCTGAGATAGTTACTTTTATTATCACCATTTTATAAATGTCAAATTTTAGGGTTTTAAGAGATTAGGGAATTTACCGAAGTCTCTCAGCTAGTAAATAATAGTTAGTATTCATTAGGCCTTATGACCTCCAGGTTTTGCTCTTTTCATATTAGCTTGAAGAAACAGTCCAGGGAAGTTAAAAATCTTGCCCAAATGTATGCATCTGGGAATGGAAAAGCCTGGGATTTTCCCACCACAAAACTTTTGTCCTACTTTGTAACCTCCCTCTTACCGTAGTCATTCACTACCACCCCAATTCCTGCCCCTCCTTCTCCTGCCCTTGGCCTTGACCACTGCCTACAGATAGTTTCTACCCTCTTCACCTCTAACTTCATTGGCATCTGCTTCAGCCGCTCCCTCCACTACCAGTTCTACGTCTGGTATTTCCACACACTGCCCTACCTCCTGTGGGCCACACCCGCACGCTGGCTCACGCATCTGCTCAGGTACTGGCTGGGACAACCTGGGGGAGCGGGAGGGGTCAGGAGAGCCTCATCCAAGACTGTGGCCATGGAGGGGTATGGAAGAGTCGAGGGCTACAGGCCCTAGACACTGGATAACTTGGGGCTTATTTCTCATCTCTAGGTTGCTGGTGCTGGGGCTCATCGAGCTCTCCTGGAACACATACCCGTCTACATCTTGCAGCTCTGCTGCCCTGCACGTGTGTCATGCTGTCATTCTGCTGCAGCTCTGGCTGGGCCCCCAGCCGTTCCCCAAGAGCATCCAGCACAGCAAGAAGGCCCACTGAGAACCACCTCTTCCCCTCCGGTCCATTCTTAGGACCCTGGATGGGGATGGACTCTGTGTCCTTTCCAATAAACCTTACCAAGTCCACTACTGTGCAGCCTAGCCTACATGGAAGTGCCTGGACGAAGCTGAGAGAGACATGCACAAGGCAGATAACGAATTCATTCAGGCAGTCCTAAGAGGCACTTTATTGCATAGGGTTTGGGAACTGGCTCTCTCCCCGCCCACGGTACTGCACAGGGCTCAGGAGCAGGGCATGGGGTGGGACGAGCGGGGGAGAGCACAGGCAGGCACTTTCTGTGGGGGGAGGCAGGAGTGGGGAAGGGGAATGAGAAGCAGTGGGGAGGTGGGGCAGGTGGGCAGGCTGACGCCAGCCTACCCAGTACTTCCCAGCACCAAGACCGACCCTGGGTGGCAGTGACTTGAGTGTGTTGGAGGGAAAGGAGAGTTCATCCCGAGCAACAGGCTGTGTCCTCACACGTTTGCCGGGCTGTAGCACAGCAAGTGTAGCTGCAGGTTCTGGTCCCAGTGGCGCAGCAGCAAGAAGAGACCCCGCGCTGCAGCCTTGAGGGCCACCAGGTCGAGGCCATCAGGTAGGTGTTGGGCCCGCAGCCAACAGTCAGCCTTGGCTGCTGCCAGTTCCCACTCGCCAAAGGCAGCAGCACAGCGGTGCTCCAGCCAAGCTAATGCCACCGCTGTAGCCCAGGTCCGGCTCCGCAGGTCTGTGCCATTTGACCCTTCTGCCCCCTCTGAGGCCTCAGTATCTGAGCCCCGCCCGCTGTCCACCTGGCCTGGACCCTCGGAGCCTGCGCTGGGGGACGGGCTGCAGGAGGCCGTGGCACTGTCACCCTGGCCTACACCAGGACCCAGAAGTGCCCAGGGAGATGAAGCTGAGGTGGGGCTGAGGCTGGCACGGTGCACAGCGAAGGGTGAGGCGCGGCACAGGCGCTCCTGCGGGATGTGCACTGCAGAGCTGAAGGGCGCATCCAGGCGGAAGGAGCCGGGTGCCTCCTGCAGCCGCACCTGAGGAGAGAGGAGGTGGGGGGATAAGTGAGCTGAGACGGTACTCTGGCTCTGGCAGTGCCACCCTCCACCTCCCGAGTCCTCACCAAGGGCAGGTAGTCATGGTCACTGGTCTGGCTTAGGTTGTGGCTGCTGAGTTTGTGGCTGTTTGGGCCTCTGGCCTTCCAGCGACCCTGGCTGAGCTTAGCAGGAAGCTGAGTGGGCAGATGATGAGGACCTCCAGTGGGGGCTGTAGGGTTCCCCAAAATAGGTGTGGAGCTGTCGTTCTGGTCCTGGCCACCTGCTAAAGACTCTCCCTGAAATCCTGTAGTAGAGCCAGTCATTCGCAGTGCTAGTCTCTAAGAGGGCTGCTGCCCCACCCCGCCAGATCAAAGTGTTACCTTTAGAGTGGACAACGGTGGGCTGAGAAGCTGTGTCTAGGTGGCCCTGTGAGGCAAGAGGCACTGGAAGCTCAGCTGGCTCTGTGAGGAGATAGGAGGTAGGGGTGAGGTTTGTCTCAAGAAGGTGGCCATAAGGTGGGTGTAAGCACCTGAGGTCACCAGGGTAGGCCCCTACCTGAGCTCCGCACCTGCAGGGCTAAAGGCAGGACCTCCTTAGTAGTAGCGTCAACAGCTATAGGATGGGTAAAGCAGGAGGGGGCTGAGCTGACTTTGCTTGTCTGAAGGGCTCGAAGCCAGGACCTCCGGGCATGGCCTGTGAAACCAAGGAGGGGGTGCACTCACTAGCCACCCTTTACGTCAGCTTTTACTATTTTTTTAAAAGATTTATTGGTTTATGCATACAGAGCTAGGGTATGGGCCAAAGGTGCAGGGGTGGGGGAGTGAAAGGATTCATCAGAGGCAGAGTGGGGGCAGAATAAACAGATGTACTGAATACACTGAGGGAAGCAGCAGGTGGGTCAGGAGAGGTCTGCTGCACCATGTGGGTCACCTCCCTGGCCAGGGATCAAACTTATGCTACAGTGGCTGCAGTAGCTTCATAGTGTTGCGCGTTAACCTGTTGTGCCACCAGAGTGGGCCCTACATAGACTTTTGACAGAAAAAAAAGTCTTGGTGTTCCCCATAGTATCTCCCTTTGTCCACCTTGAGAAAAGTGGAGTTCCTTCTAAGGGCCAGAAACAGCTCCGGCTCCCCAATTTTGACAAATGGTTAGGCTGAACCCTCAGTTACTGGCATAGCGAGACCCTTCTCCCCCCGACCATCCAGAAATTACACTTCAGACACCACCCAAAGAAAGCATCAGCTGTGGTGCCTTTTTCATCCACTCATTTTAGCTCTGTTCAACAGAGTTTTCTGCAAGGATAGACATATTCTATATCTGTATGACCCAATAGAGTCGTCCCTAGTCACTGTGGCTATTAAGCACTTGAAGTGACTGATGGAACTATAGAACAGATTGTAACTATTTAATTTCAATAGTTTCCCTGAATGAAAGATTTGTTTTAGTTGTGGCCTCTGTGGATCTTGTTACCTCCTGTGTTGGCTATTAGATTTACTTATTTTAGGTCCCATGCTTGTAAGGACACAACCTCACATTGTGCATCTTTAATATAACCTCATTCTGTTTATTAACCTGTTTCCTCCATTGTGCTGCTGAAGTTTTTTCCTTGTCAGTGTCAGTGAATTACCTCGTGTTTAGGAGCATGGCGAGGTATAAAGAGTGAGTCTACACCCCTACCACTCTGTTCCGAATAGGCTCCTTGGGCCCTCGCTGGGGCCACCACCCACTCACCTCGATCAGCCGTGGTCTCGGCGCCTCCTCGGAGAGCTATCTGCTCATTGTCCCGGACCACAGAGGCTGCTGTCAAGCGGTGGAATGCTTGGTCCCAAGAACCTTCTTTCTCAAAGGGTGACAGAGGCTGTGAACCGTCATCCTTAGGCCCCCATAGTGTCTCTAGCCCAACACCCACCTCCCAACACATAGGTTGTTCCCCACACAAGGCCCGGATAACCACATGGCAGCGTGGAGCCTGGGGAGGCCGTGGCACTGCTGGAGGAGCTGACTCCCCATTGGGGGGCAGAGCTGTGAATGAGAAGGGTGGTTCCATCAACATGTCCCAGTCCATGGGTGCTGGGGAGAGCAGGTTTGCTGTGGAGAGAAGACAAGGACAGGTAGTGTGCCCTGGGCTCCACCTCCCCAAGGACTTGGTGTCAGAAACCAGCTTCCCATCCAACCCTTACCTGAGTCATCCAGGCCCTGTCCCAGCTGCTGCCCTGACTCAGGGCCTGATCCATCTGATGCTGCGCCCAGAGAGGGGTGCCAGGGGCGACCAGAGACTGGGTTCACCCGGCCTGGTGGTGATGAGAGGCTTCGACCAGCTAGTGCTGCTCTGCGTCGACGGCCCAGCACCTCAGCGCTCAAGGCCCCAGGCTGCATGTGAGAAGTGGGGTGTACTCATTAAGGAAAACCGCTCCTTCCCCCACATACACCACTGGACAGATGCCCTTTGTCTGAACCCCTCGATGAGGGGCCTCTGGCCCCCTTCCTAGTGTCCCCTTATTCCATGCCCTGTTTTCCACTTGCTGTTGCTTGTCTCTAGTGTTTTTTTTTTTCCTCTTCACTTGGCTAACTTAATTTTCTAGGTGTGATGCTTCCTTTCCTGATCCCTAAGACAGGGTTAATCATGACTGTGACCCCCACTAAACGTGCCTGTGTTCCTTACTGTATTCTGTCTGGTATCATCAGTAGAGATTTATCCATCTCTTCAGCTAAACTTGATAATAACCACTGCACCGTTATGGAATACCGCAGATGGTCAATAAATGTTTGCTGGATACCTGGTATATATTTGTGAACTGAATCTCACCTTGGTTGGAGCCAGTGGGGGTGTAGGAAGGGGGCAGGAGTGGAAGCCTGCAGGCTCTCCCCAGGCCAGGCTGCGGCACCCCTGCTGAGAAGGGGGATCCAGAGGTGCACTCCCTTCGGGAGAGCCCAGGCCCTGGGAGCCAAGGGACTCGCCACTGCCTGTGGAGCCTGGGCCTGGCTCTGGGCTGGCAGAGCAGTGGGTGAGCACATACTGCTCCCGGATGTATGAGGACTGGAAGATGCGGCGCCATATGGCTGTGTCAGAGGAGGGGTTGGGTCCAGGATCCGTGACTGGGTCTGTCAGAGCATCGGCACCTGATGGGAGGCAGAATAGACCCCAGCTCTGGGCTCCCCCACTGCTCATGCCTCCAATAGCCACACACATATACCCAGGTACTCACTCGGCTCTGAGTCTCCAGCAGCCCATGGACTGGACAGCTCTGCTGACACAGTGCCTACTTCTGGTGGTGCTGAGGTGCCAGTGGGCTCAGTGCCAGGGCTGGTGGCAGATGGTTCCTCCTCTGGGGATGGGAACACAGAGCCGCCCAAGCTCTGCCAGCCAGGCTCTTGGCCCTAGAGAGGGATAGATAGAGGGATAGATAGCATTTGGGGGGTGGGGGAGGGAAGGGGGATGAATTGTACTGACACTTCCTCTTCAAACGGGATTTAAGACGACTGACCGTACACAGCAATACACTTAAACCAGAAATGAAAGACCAGTACACCAGAAGGTGGAAGCGTGTGTATTACCATAGGGTTAATACTGCAGATGTGGCCGAGCTTCCTGACAGCTAGGCACAAAGGCAGACAGGCCATGAGAGCTCATAATCAGAAAGGAGGAAGCATGCATGGCTCATCTAGGGAGAAAAAGCTTTTCACAACAAAAAGAACTATCACTTCTCCAACTCGTACCAGAAGCCAAGTATCCTACCAAGAACATGCACTATTTGGCCTTAATTTCAACAATGTCATGGGCAAAAGTATGAGGAAATGGGCTCTGGGAGATTAAGTGACTTGCCCCCAAATCAAATGACTAGTACATGGCAGAATTGGGATCTGAGATTTGCAGGGGGAGCATGAGGGGCGTTCTGAGATTTTTTTCTAGACCATGCTCCACCTGCTCCTGAATGTTACAGGAAATAAGCTGAGGTGTTGTCTGTAGGGCATGGTGTAATGTAATGAGGAAGTGTGAACAAACATCTCACAAAATGCTGGAGCTGTTTGTTGTCTGTGGCTGTGTGCTTTAGTGCTCTTTGGTCAAAGCCAAGGGCAACACTTGATGGGATAACTCAGTGGGAGGCCTCATAAGGGGGTCTCCCTAGGATGCAGCCACCTTGGTGGGGTGC